ATACATGATTAATATTATTTACATGATTTTGCATGTCATTGGGCAATGTATGTGCATATATAATATACACAGGTATGTTCACATGTATAATATGATAAATGTATAGCACATGCAAAGAATAACACGTACATTTGATTTAATATGTACATTTATCCAGATAATTTTTGACCTGCCATAGACTTTGATTGTGTTTCCTCTACAGCATACATATCGTATGATACCCATTGCTGTTGTACATTTTTGTACAGCGCGTTCTCTTTTTTCGGATACATGCTGTGTAACGTCCCAGATCTGTTGCTCAATCCCCACATTACATAGTAAGGGTGCCGGGAATCGCATGGGCTCTCAACGTTTATCATCATATGTCCCGATCAAAATCGTCACTTCTGCCCGTGTTCTAAAACACCCTAATATCATATGAATCAGATGATGGGTTTTGAATCCCCATTATATCGTCACTATTGTATCCCACCATGCCTTCATGTTTGTAGGTTGTTTGGATCCCCCATTTGTTTCAATCACACCCACTTATATAGTTTTCATATTCTTAGATATTCTTAGTTATATTCTTAGGTATACATACCAGTCATAAACCTTATCACATTCTAAGATTCTACTTCCCAGTCATATATTCCTATGCCCATTCACAAGCAGCCCAGGGGAAGCTGTGGAGCGAATGAAGGCCAAAGGTCCAAGGCCCGGACGGCTGATGACTTCGCTGGTGATTTGATGACATTCTGTTGCTTGATGATTTAATATAGGGGATTATATATATAAATATATATATATATGGGAGCCGTCCGTAAAAGCAGGTCACAAATTTATGAATTGATGCGTTTACTTTGCTTTGCGCGATTGCTAAAACCTGCATCGCGATAGGCTGAGCGATTGGTTGGCGATTGGTTATACGGCTACCACCCTATTACTACTACTACTACTACTACTACTACTACTACTACTACTACTTTTACTACTAGTACTGCTAGTACTACTACTACTACTACTACTACTTTCGAGACCAGAACCATGCCAATAATTGACATGGCCGCGCGGATTCCGCGCGCGCGGAATCCGCGCGCGCGGAATCCGCGCAGATGTTTTCAGGTCAGAAGGACATTCAAGCTAGCTCCAATTGAAAACAGGTCAGAAACAGGTCAGAAACAGGTCAGAAACACCAAAAAGGCAGCACTTGCCTAGCATCCCATCCATCCATCCATCCATCCATCCATCCACCTCAGCTCTTATCATTGCTACTTCTACTATTACTATTACTACTATTACTACTTCTACTCCTCCTCCTCCTCCTACTACTACTACTACTACTACTACTACTACTACTACTAGTAGCACTAGTACTAGTATTTGGGGCACTAGTAATGATATTACTTTGACGATCACTAAAATTGTTCCTAGTTTGACTGCCCGTGCTGATTTTTTTGAAGTTGAAGAAGACTCCGGGAAAGGTCAGAAACAGGTCAGAAACAGTCAGAAACACCAAAAAGGCAGCACTTGCCTAGCATCCATCCATCCATCCATCCATCCATCCATCCATCCATCCATCCATCCATCCATCCATCCATCCATCCATCCACCTCAGCTCTTATCATTGCTACTTCTACTATTACTATTACTATTACTACTATTACTACTATTACTACTATTACTACTATTACTACTATTACTACTATTACTACTATTACTACTATTACTACTTCTACTACTACTACTACTACCACTACTACTACTACTACTACTACTACTACTACTACGACTACGACTACGACTACGACTACGACTACGACTACGACTACGACTACTACTACTACTACTACTACTTTTGCTACTAGTACTGCTAGTACTACTACTACTACTACTATTACTACTACTACTGCTACTACTACTACTACTACTTTTACTACTACTACTACTACTACTACTACTACTAGTACTACTACTACTACTACGACTACTACTACTACTACTACTACGACTACCACGACTACTACTACGACTACTACTACTACTACTACTAGTACGAGTACGACGACTACTACTACTACTACTACGACTAGTACTACTAGTACTACTAGTACTACTAGTACTACTAGTACTACTACTACTACTACTACTACTACTACTACTACTACTACTACTTTCGAGACCAGAACCATGCCAATAATTGACATGGCCGCGCGGATTCCGCGCGCGCGGAATCCGCGCAGATGTTTTCAGGTCAGAAGGACATTCAAGCTAGCTCCAATTGAAAACAGGTCAGAAACAGGTCAGAAACAGGTCAGAAACACCAAAAAGGCAGCACTTGCCTAGCATCCCATCCATCCATCCATCCATCCATCCATCCATCCACCTCAGCTCTTATCATTGCTACTAATACTACTACTACTACTACTTACTACTACTACTACTACTACTCCTGCTACTACTACTACTGCTACTACTACTGCTACTACTGCTACTACTACTACTACTCCTACTACTACTCCTACTACTCCTACTCTCTACTCCTACTCCTACTCCAAACGCAACCTCTCTCTCTCTCTCCCTTGCCAATCCCTCACCCTCCTACCAGAACTCCTACGCCTACTCCTATTCCAATTTCCACTACCACTACTGCTAGTGCTACTGCTACTGCTAGTGCACTGTGAGTTTTCCGGACCGTTTCCGGACCGCACAAGCTTATTTTGCTCCCAAATTTGAAATCGAATGCGTTCACGCATGGATCCTTACTCTCATTACTAGATTTGCTACTACCCCCAGCACTACCACCACACCCGCTGCTACTGCACCACCCTGCACCACCACTACCACCACTACCACTAGTACACATAGAATTTCTGCTCTTGCTTTTAAATCCAATTGCACTCGTGTGAAGGGTCAGAAACGAGTCAGAAACCAGTCAGAAACCAGTCAGAAACCCGTCAGAAACCGGCCAAACGCAATCTCTCTCTCTCTCTCTCTCCCTTGCCTATTCCCTCACCCTCCCATCAGAACTCCTACGCCTACTCTTATTGCAATTTCCACTACCACTACTGCTAGTGCTACTGCTACTGCTAGTCCTGCTGGTACTACTGTGAGTTTTCCGGACCGTTTCCGGACCGCGCAAGCTTATTTTGCTTCCAAATTTGAAATCGAATGCGTTCACGCATGGATCCTTACTCCCACTACTAGATTTGCTACTACTCTTAGTACTACCACCACACCCGCTGCTACTGCACCACCACTACCACTAGTACACCTAGGAATTTCTGCTCTTGCTTTTAAATCCAATTGACACGAGTTCCGCTGAAGGGTCAGAAACGAGTCAGAAACCAGTCAGAAACCAGTCAGAAACCCGTCAGAAACCGGTCAAACGCAACCATCTGTTTCCCCCTCCCTCTCTCTCTCTCTTTCTCTCTTTCCCTCCCTCTCCCTTTCTTCCCTTGCCCTGCTACTAGAACTCCTTCTCCTATTCCTACTCCTACTCCTACTCCCCCTCCTACTACTACTACTACTACTACGACGACTACTACTACTACGACTAGTACTACTAGTACTACTAGTACTACTAGTACTACTAGTACTACTGCTGCTGGTACTACTGTGAGTTTTCCGGACCGTTTCCGGACCGCGCGAGCTTATTTTGTTCCCAAATTTGAAATCGAATGCGTTCACGCATGGATCCTCATTATATAATACATAACTTATATTTTATGTATATGATCTGATCAACGAAGAACAAACCCTTCCGCGATTGCTCACTGTGGTACCGCGGTTGCTACGCGATTGGCTGAGCGATTGAGGGCTGTCCGGGAAAAGGTATTTTGGACAACCCCCATATATATATATACATACATATGTATAATATCTATATATTGGATGATTATACATTTGTTGGTTGATGAAGGGATATTATATCATAAAATGAAGCTATATATATATATATTGGGGATTCTAAAGTACAATCCCAGAACGGAGGAATCCCGTTCTGATTTTCCATTCGCAGACCGTGAACTTGTTGTTGATTCTACTTGCGTGTATCTTGTGTGAAAAAATCTTTGGTAAACATTTTACATAACTATATGGAAAGATCCACCATGCTATCAATGGGTAAACTCACTATTTCGACTGGGCCATTTTCAATAGCTATGTTAGTCATTACCAGAGGGTAACCAAGAGAAAATGGGGTGAATTCCCGACGATCTCCCACGGAGATTGGTAAGCTTCATACATGGTCAAGGGAACAGATCCGCAACCTATCTACTGCCACATAGTGAAACTGACTGATTTGTATATGATATACAGTATTATATATATATACACACGTTTTATATACTATGGTTATAATTATACATATATATATATATGCGCACACACACCTTTTAGATTCTGCACAAAATGAATTTGGAGGAATATGTTGCGACATTTATGAAGGCATCATTGAAGTTGTTTGTTTAAAAATACTAGCAGATCCAGTATTAAAACATTCGATTAAATCGATAATGGATTTGGAGATCTGCTAGATGTTCCCTTTTTGTTGCTTTTTTGTTTGATTTGTCACACATCAATACCCCTCCCTGCAGCTGAGTTTGGTCCAAAAATCGGCATTCACTCAATTTCTTGGCCCTCGGAAAAGGGAAAATGATTTCCAAAAACCGATTGGATTCTGTTTTCGGCGTATAACCACTTGATTCTCTAAAAAAACACATCTTATGTTCTTTTAACCAGCTGATTTTGCAGGGTTCTCATGTTTTGCACTTTCAAGTGGTGAATCATTGTCCAAATCACTGGACTTCCTTTTTTCAGTTGTTTAATCACTTGAATTCACAAACATCATCATAACGTACAATAATACTTAGATAGTTGTTGTTCAGATTTTTCCATGTTTTTCTGAAAGGTTTTTTCGGACATCTTTGAACCCTGGCGCCATTTTTGTCGGGCGCCAGGCCGCACGTCCTGGCGCTGAATCTCCTCGCGGGCGTCTTGTCGGAGACGTCTCCAAGGAACGCGCGGGCGGTGGCGCAGGAGGCGTTGCGGCTGAGTCAACGACTCGGGGATAAGGACCTGGAGGTGGGGACGGGAGTTGGATGGGAAATTCCCCACAATAAGAAGTTCCTGTTCCTCATTCCTTCCTCATCCCCATGTTCCAGGCGCAGCTCTGGTTGCGCCTCTCAAGTATCGAAGCTGCGACCTTGGACAGGGACGACGAGACCTTGCAGGTGTGGAACCCGGCACCGTCCTTTTTTGCCCCCCCCCCCGGCTGGTCAATTTGTTTTGAACTGCCATGAACATGATTTTTCATAAACATATATTATAATCACATATATATATATATATACATAGTAGATACTCGTACATCTATATACATTGGCTTTGTAACCTTCTGAAATTGGGAGGGTCCTTTTGCAGGATATTAATCTTCCTTCAGACTCTGGAGTTTTATCCCAGTCATGTAGTCACTTCGCTGTTAGATCACATCATAACGGAAAACAGAAGATTTTTAATAGCAGGTAAAGATAGGAAAGGTACCCTCTGGTAAACATACAAAAAGCTATTGAAAATGACCCAGGCGAAATAGTGGATTTTCCCAGCTAGAAAATGGTGGATCTTTCCTGTATGTTTACCAGGCCGGGTATCTACAAATAGATGAATCAGGATTGCCATGTTGGATTCCTGACGGGTTTAACTGGTGATGACACCACAGATACTGTGCCAGCATCCTGGTGCGCCAACGTGCCACAACAAGACGTCCCCCCTCTTCACGAATCCCCGTTAAACATTGTCCTCCAATGTTTCCATTATGTCACCAGAATTTCCTCCAACATCATGATATCCATTTATACGGTTTCTAGATTATATGTGATAGTTATATAAAAATAAATAAATAAATTGATAAACAAATATATATATATTATATTATATATACATATCCCATATGAGTTTTCGGTTTTGCATGTTGCCGTGCCACATTTCCATTTGCAATTTTCGTGGTGAACCCCCAGGAAATTCCGATGTGTTCACCAGAAAGTCACCAGGCGTTGGAGAAGGCTATGGCGCTGTGGAAGCAGCTGCCAGAGAGGTCTGAGGCGCGAGTTTTGTTCCCAGTTAAAACATGTTAAAACTACCCTGGTTGATTGCATAATTTGTTAGGACCAACTAGTATTTCATAGTATTTCATGAGATGGGAGATGGCTATTTTTGATGACTCAGGTGTGGTTTGGGTGTCTAACAAATGATAACAATGGGATTTTTAGGTACCATTTACTGCATTCTGTTTTCATAAAAAAAACCCGGCTTTATTTACAATTGCGCGAAGATGCGGTTAAGAGTTTGTTGATTTGAACAACTGTTGAATTTGATATCTCGTGAAATTATCATGATATCCTGGTTGGTGGTTTGGAACATGTTGTTTTTTCCATTTAGTTGGGAATAATAATCCCAACTGACTAATATTTTTTCAGAGGGGTAGGTATACCACCAACCAGTATCATATGATAGAGCGAAAGTATGGTATTAAGTTGGGTGACAAGACCAGTTTCCAGCGGGCCCTCGGTGATGGCCTAGCAAGGCAATCGCTTGTGCTCGCTACCTCTCCATCTCTGTGCTCTTGCGCATGTTCGACCCTAAGGAGCCGCAGCGACGTGGGAAGTTGCTGCTGCGAACGTTTCCAGAAAAACCGTCTCGAACTTTGAAGTAACATCTTTTAACCAGGCTATGAAGTTGATTGATCATATATATATACCCCTTGATCTTGGAACCTTTTTTTTTCAGGGTATCTATGATAAAGTCAAGTTATATCCTGAAGATATGGTACAAACCTGTGTTTTGACAAAACACACATATATATATATTCATCGATTGTATTATATAGTGTATCATATAATATACAGTAATGTAATGTTATATGTTTATATGTGCCACCCGCGCTTGGGATTGGAGATGGTGTAGTCGCTGACTCACGTGCCCCCGCGTTTTTTTAAAGGCCGGGATCATCCAAGAACCGGAAATGGGAAACCGTCACAGCAATCCTTGGTGACACGTCCTTTATATTGATCAGTTTATATGAGTTTATATCAGATTTCTAGAAATTACAAGGATGAACATAGCATATTATATATTAATATCCTTGATTGTTCCGATACTGATATTGTAGACTCCCAGTGAAAAGAAATGATATTTTAGACTCCCAGTGAAAAGAATTGCTGTAAGTTCCCCCTTCAACTATGTATATATATATACACATCCATCACAAATCCATACATCCATACACATCTTATCAAATCTTACTGATCATACAGTTACAAACCACAAGAAACCTATCTTCTGGGCCCGCGCTATCTTCCCATGTTAGCATTTTATCTCCATTATTTCAGCATGATGGTTGGTAGAAATAACCAGTGAGACATATCGATGGACGGATGGATGGATGGATGGATGGATGGATGGATGCATGGATGGATGGATGGATGGATGGATGGATCTGTGGTCCCCGAGCTCTGACTAATCTCCATGTTGCTTGGTGCTTGGCAGGACAGCCTCAAAGAGGCCTCGCAAGTGCGTGCCTTTTTCTCTGAAGAGAAGGCCGGGAGATGGAGGGGGTTCTCCCTGGAAAGCCCGGCTAAGCCACCTGAGAAAAACAGCAGACATTCCCTACAACCCATAGAAGATATACCCTCTGGTGATCAAGCACGGAAAGGGAAATTCCTAGGTCTGGTGCATTTGATCATGACTTCACCCGATCCCAAGTTATGGCTTTTCACTTTTCAAGGCAGTGGAATTTTGTTTTCATGATCATTCAGCAATAATATATGAATGATGGATTTGGGGATGTGTGGTAGATATCAGTATGTCGTGGATATGTCGTGGATATGTCACTGGATCCAGAGGATTTGGGGCAAAAACCGCTGCGCCTTTCGAAGGAGTTCGAAACACATATTACCTGCTCTCTCCCAGTATAATTCTAGTAGAAATATCCCCCAGTATGTCCCCATTGTTCCCTTGTATATCCCCATATTCCCCATTGTTGATGACATATTCCCAGTTGCTACTGCCTGTCCTATGATTTTCCCATGTCCCTATTAAAATTGATGGTTTTAATCTCCATTGTCTCCCATCGTCTCCAAGTATATCCTACTATAACCACCACTAGCCTCAATATTTAATCGTTAAACCCCCATTGGCCTCGATTTTTTATTATGGTTAAACCCAGTTAAACCATTGTTAAACCCCTACTAACCTCCATTTTGCAGAGATTTCTCATGGTGAATCCATGTTAAACCCCCGTGTTTGATGGCACAATTCCCGTTTTTTGTTACCGGTGAACTCAGCCCGTTCGTCGCAGCGTTCGTCGCACCGCATAGGACGCGCAGCGTGAAGCTTTGAGCCTGGTGGCCGTGGCGTCTGTCAGCTTCGCGCGGAACGACGTGGAGGATGCCAAGGACCTGTGCAAAAAGATGGGATTTCGGATAGATTTCTATGGGTTTAATGAAGATACTGTGGATGGAAATCCCGCACCAAAAGGATGGTTTAAGCCCTATAAAGAATGGGATGTTTACCACCTATCAACTGGTGCGGGATTTCGGGACCATCCACAGTATCATGGGGATATCATGGGATATATATATATATGTATATATATATATATATGTATATATATATAATAAATATATATATATATTATGTGTATAATTGATGGATATACTGAAATATGGGATATTCCACGGGATACAAATGTCAAAATGGGATACAAATGGCCGGATGTGTTGAGTCGATGATAGCAAAAACTCCTGTGAAAAGATTGGAACAACCATGGATGTTTCTAGCTGGGAAAACTTGATCATGTCTGCATTTGTTAAAGATACCCTCTGGTAATTTAACATAGCTATTGAAAATTGCCATTTATAGTGAGTTTTCCCATGAAAAATGGTGGATCTTTCCATAGTTATGTTAGTTTACCAGAGGGTAAAGATGATTTATGATTTTCCAAATGGGACATCCACTACTTTAATGGAAATCCAAGCTTATACGGGATATACATGGATATACAACAATGATGCGCGGTCAAGTAATGTGGCATGTTTACCACTTACCAACTACAATGATGGGATATATATATATATATAATGATGGTGCTTATTATGACACTGGTTATATATATACTGTATATATATATATACACACCGTTTTATTGTATTATTGTATAGGAAACCAGTGTCTGGGATTGATGTGATCAACGTTAAAAAACGCCATTGACCGTCCCGTTGTGGCCAACCATAAAAGGGGTCAGCCAGGTTGGCGCTGCATGAAGCAAGCGGAATTGGTGTGTTGACGATGCCTTGGGTGTGTTTGTTTAAGAAGACCCAGCGCTAATTCAGTTCCGTCCCTGAAAATGGGACTTTCACACACACATAGGATCCATGTATGGTATATATGCTAACATAAAGGGGGTATATTGATGGTAAATGTTACCATACATAGCATACATGGATCCTATGGGACATGACAGTTTGATATCTTTTGCAAGGCCCAACCCCGCCTTTTTGCAGCAACTACCGGGGATGATCAATGTTTTTTCACAGCATCCCGGCAAGTTTCACAACAAAAACATCGGTTCTTCTTAGTCCTGCAGGGTGACGTCCTGAAGGGACTTTGATGGTTGGGAAAGTCATCCCTACAAGGGCCTTGAATGATCTTGAATTCTGGTTTAGAATTCATTTTGATATATTTTGATTATTGTAAGCTACAGTCTATAGTTCTATAGTTGTAGTTGGTCTGTGATTTTGATACGTGTTCCCTATCTCTTTGGTGAATATTCCCATTTGTTTCCAGATTTTTTTTAAAAAAAATGTTGGGTGTCCAACATCCATGTTTTATTTTTGTAGATTTGTCATATTCATCCATATGTCACCACTACTTATTGTAACTTGGCTTTGCTTAAGCTGTTCATTCCCCCCCTGGGTTCATCCACCATGTAAATTGCAGGTAGATATCCCCGTACTCATCCACGTGCCACAAATACATATTAATAATATTTTTTTCAAGTGAAATATGTTTCATATCATTCATCATATCCCCAATATGTGGGATTAATCATACGCAAATATATTTGGATACTATATATATATATGTATATGTCATCCCCAATATGTGTGATTTACTTGACAGTTTTCTTCAATATGGATATCTATATACTCGTATGTATATATATATACAATAAACTAAACAAATCATAACTAACTATATGAATATGAGTACTACAAAATATATATATATATATATAAATATATATATATAAATAGTTTTTTCCCATAGATATCTAGATATGTTCCAGTTATCCCCCGGAGGAGTCCCTGGAGTTGGCCAGGGAGCTCTTTCGAGCTTCGCCGGAAGTTGTTGCCGTTGTTGCCAAACGTCTTTGGCCACGACGGGACCGTGGAAAGAAAAGGCTGTGCCCCAGAAAACGCTAAGTTGATCTATAATCTATACATATTTGTACATATCTCTACATCATGATCTATACATATTTGTACATATCTATATACATATTTATACAGTATCTATACAGTATCTATTCATATCTATAAATATATGTACATATACACAAATCTATTCATATCTATAAATACATAGTATCCACGCACATCTGTACATAGTTCTATCCTTGCCTGGGTTTCGAAACCATCTTGCAACTGGGGTTACGACCTTTTTTGGGGCTAGGAGTAGGGAAATCATCTCCTCAAATGAGCCAACTCCGATTAGCTTGGTACATCACTATGATTTAACAAAATTATTAGCATAATTTTAGGTGCCATCAATGGAAGCACAGCGTATCCCGTTGTGCTTTCTGCAGCTTATCATAGCTCAGGGGTCAAGTTATGAGGCTGTTTACCCTTTGGTAAACAAACAGTTTGCTATTGAACATGGCCCATGAAAATAGTGGATTTTCCCATTGAAAATGGTGATTTTCCATAGTTATGTTAGTTTACCAGAGGGTACTGTATGTTACAGGTAGTCATGAACATGTTTTTCCCTCTTCTCTTGAGGGGACCATATTGCAATCTGTGTCATGTCTTTCCCAAAATAGGGATACGGGACCCTCCAAACTCCAAAAGCTTGGTGTTTTGCAACCAGCCCTTCCTGCTAATATTAAACACTACCCAAAGAAATCATGGTTTAGTAGGGGATTTACACATTTTTGGGCTCATAGAATGGTTGTGTTAATTATAAACGGGGGACGGAAGTAGTCAAATAGTCAAATGTTGGATGATGTCGGTGTCCCCATTTTGATAGGGAACATGTTCTCCCCAATGTTGGAACGTTGAGGAGCCACAGCTACACTGAGCAGAACAACACGAAAAAAACAAATGTTTGTTCTTTTGTTACTTATAATTCCATCATATTCCATCCAACTAAATACCAGGAACCATAGTAAACCTACTTATAAAATCTCATAAACCCGCTTATGTAAGTATTCATCATGAAATCCCATGAATTTGGCCCACAGAATTTTTGGGTGGTTAAGTCCCCACAACTTGGGTGCTGAGGAGAGGTGTCAGATCACCGCGGAGAAATGCTGGCGCTGACCACCCTGGCTGAGATGTCCCGTAGTATGGGAGAGATTTCCGAGGCGATTTTTGGTGGTGATGGTGGGATAATTTTTAGACATGTTTAGTGTGTTTTGTTTAGGTGATTTTAAGTGACTTTGAGATGATCTCTGCTTACCACGTCTAGCTTATGGTTGAGAGATTTTAGGCATTATTAGATGATACTAATGATTTTTAGGTGAAATTGTGGGTTATTTACCAAAACAATTGAGGGATTTGTTGCAGAACCTTTGGCGTCTTTCTGTATGCCTACGGCATGTTTGCGTACAAGTTCATATAAGCATGTACTATGTGCAATGGAAACATGTGTATGTTTACCTACATATATATATATGTGGCAGGGACCTTTGTGGTCTATTTCGTTCCTCCTCGCACAAACGTAATCAAACGTCATTCTATATGCATATATACTATATACACAAGTAAATATGTCTACATGTGTGTACAAGTTCAACAGAAAGTCGCAATTTTTTCCCTTGCCCCTCAACCTGCGCAGCGTCCGTTTTCTGCTCCAAGAGATGCTGTCACCAGCACGCGCGAACGCACGCCAATTTGAACTCTGGGCAGAAGAGTCCTCCAGTGTCAATTGTGTTGCTTTCCATCCCTGCAAGCTACAAAGTTTTGGAATGCGCATGCAAGTTTGGGACTCTTGTGCGCTCATGCATGGGAATGTTTTGGTTGTCAGGAGTTTGTAGTTGCAGTTGCAATCTTAGTATTAAGCATAGTTTTATAGAAAAAACCTTAAAGGAACCTCATGGGCATGTAACACAAGCAACAAAGCAATGCAAACATGTTCCACCACTTCCACCTGTAGTGATGAAGAGGGAGGGTGATGGCGGCCAACCCCCTTCATTTTGTCATACTCATCACTTCATTGTTTTTGGCCCCGCTGTCGTCCCCTCTCAGGATCCTTTGAATGAAGAAGAGTTGCAAAAGCAGACCTTGGACCTCTTGGTGAACTTTGCATACAGGCTGCAGATGGATGGCCTGATGCCTGACCTGCCAGAACAGCCACCAGGTGAGCCCAGTAGTGGATCTGGTTTTCTGCGAGAAGTGGAAGGTTCTAAACCCAAACACCCAGGTGCACCACTACTTGAAGCTTCTATGGCAATGGCACCTGGCCCAAGTCCAGGTATCTGCGCGTCTTCACCAGCCAGTGCAACTACGGTTTTGCCAGTTCAACCTGATGTTGGTTTGTTGGCACCTGCCACTCCTGAAGTACCCCCTCTGAGGCTTCAGCAGCATGCATCCCCAAAGAACTACCTGGTCCAGTTCCAGAAGCAATGGGGGAGGTTGACCTGTACTCCTGACCAGGTGAAGAAGCTTCTTTATTGCACCAAACAAAAAGGCTCTCAAGCTTCGACTGGGCCGTCCTCTACTCAAGATGTATCTGATAGGAAATTCATACATTTTCTCAAGCATCATATGTTTCTATGGTTTTGCTTTCTGTGTGGGATTCAAGTTTCTTGATCTATGCGTTTAGTATTGGTCATTCTCAGGTACCAGAGTTCGTGCCTCCTCGAGGAACTTCTAGTGGAGGTTGGTTCAGGAAAGTTTCTGGGCTAGTAGTTGCTTGGAAGCTTGGAGAAGCGCACAGGATGAGATGCCTACTATAACGATGGGAAGAGGTTTCACGGGTGAAGGCGTATGTGGCAGCTTTGGTGGGCTACGTCAAAAAGTGTGGATGGCAAAAGAACTTGGAGGGTGAGTATGGCTTGAACACTTGTACTCGCCTAAGATCTTACTGACTCCAGCAAAGCCTGGGTGGTTAAAAAAAAACCTTATATCAAACTATCAAACAGTAAGAATTTCAATTCTGTTTCTAAATTGAAAATAAAGCAGTCGCAATTTTCAATTCGGAAATCGAAATTGAAAATCCAACAGTCACCATTTCAATTCAGAAATTTAAATTGAAAATCAAACAGTCGCCATTTAAATTCAGAAATCTAATAGAAAATCAAACATTCACCATTTCAATCAGAAATCTACCTTGAAAATCAAACGATCACCATTTCAATTCAGAATTCCAAATTGAAAATCAAACAATCTCCATGTCAATTCAGAAATCTAAATTGGAAAACAAACAGTTGGCATTTCAATTCAGAACCTTAACTTGAACCTACAATAGTATATTTTTTACTTTTCAGATTTTGATATTAATTTGGTTTACTATTTGGCACAACTATCAAAAAATAATGTAGTTTTTACATAAGCAGCCTTTAGGGCTTTCATTTTTTTAGCCAAAAAGCACATTGATGCTTTCATTTTTTGAAGCTGTCACAAGTATAGCACATTGATGCTTCAGGTTTTGGTGTTCCATTAGTGCATCAGACATGTGTCCTTTGCATTTTTCTTGTCAAGGTGTAAGCTGTCAGGATGTCCAGTAATAGGGGTCAGGCACGGGGTTCAGCCACTGATCCAATGGTATCTCGACAGTTTCAAACCTGGACCTCATCCAATGGATGGAAGAGCCTCTGGTATGTCGAGATTCATCAATCAGGCTTTGATTCTTGGTTACCAGGTTGAAATTCATCATGTTTTTAAAGCATACGGGAACTCAGGTAGTATGAGGATAGACGTAAACAAATTGCTCGCTTGCTCAGGCAGGATGCTCTTGAGCACTTCAAGCAGAATGAAGGCCCACATCTTTTGCCTGCCAGCCTGAAGAACTTGATCAAAATCAGTTACATGTTGGCTGGGGTCCCTGTTCCTTCTGGCGATGCTATCTGCGCCTGATAGCTGCAGCTGTATGCCCATAGTGCATGGAAAGCCTGGATGAAAACATACTTGGGTGGAATCAAAATACTGTGGGGGGAGAAAAAATATTTTAAAAAAAACACCATGTGGTGTACTTGTTTTTTTCTGGCCCAGTGGCCTTTCCTGCTATTTTGAAACTATTGTGGTTTATGCCCAAGGGGCTTTCATGTAAAGGTCCAGGGTTGGGTATGAGAGCCCACTGAAGTTTATATGCTTCTAACCTTAAAGGGTCCCAGAACCCATTCCCACCGACTCTTGCTACAGGTTTTGCTGATAGGGCTTTCATTTTATTTTGTAAACTAAATTGTTTCTGCCCAAAGGGGCTTTCATGTAAAGGCTTAAACTCCTTTATCCCATGCCCAAAGGAGCTGTCATAATTCTAACTTTGAAGGTTAGCAGAATCAATTCTCTTCTGCTTCTGCTGCAGTGGGCCCATAGGAATTGTGGGCTCACCTTAGCCTAGATCCTTTGATCACCATGGCTACTTGGGACGTTGAGGACTTAGTCAAGGAGATTAGTGATATGGAAGCGATTTACCAAAGGAACGCTGGTTCACAGCTGGTGCCACGAATGCATTGCAGTCCAAAGTGAATGGTGTCCAAATGCTCGCTGCTTCTAACTTCTTGAAGCGTCCTGATGCTGTTCAAAATGGCATCTTGACTGCTGACACGAAGGCAGAGTTGCAAGCATTTCTCGAATCAAGGGCAGCCTCTTCAATCAAAGCATGACCACGCCTTGGAACTACCTGTCCCAAAGCGAATGGCAGCAGATGCAGAATGGCATCAACACAGTTGATGCTACCCACATGCTGATCAAAAGAATCAAAGTGTGTGGGTTGAAAAGCCTCAAAGAAGACACCAAGAAGTACTTGACATCCTTTTTGGTCAGCCTTCAGGTGAAATCACCAATGTCTTGCCTCCAGTTTTTGACATGTACAAATTTTGTGCTGGATACGTTCGAGGCTGTGGTGGCTCAACCTCTGCATGCTGGTTTGGCAAGGTACCCACCTAGCCCCCACGACATTGGGGAGGCACTGGGTTTGTAGAATCTTTGGTGATGGCTGCTTTCAAGCTGATAATTTTGAAGTCAAAATTTAGCCATGACATAATCCCTGAACACACACACACACACATGGACACGTATACATATTTCCATTTGAACATAAACACTTGCAGGCTTTCTGCTTGCTCGCTACCAGTCATATGATAAACCTTGGAAGCATTGCCAAGAAAGTCACGGTGAGCGGAACTGCCAAGGAACTCAGGGCTGTGGCCACTCCACAGGCAACCTCTCAGCAGTTGCCAGCAGAGCCTTCGACAGGGAAAGATCCTACAAACAGTATGGTGACCACCCATCTCTTTGACATGATGGAGAAACAGGCCAGAGCTTTGGATGCCTTGAGCCAGAAAATCTTGAACAATGATAGCTTGGAGAAGCCTCCTTCCAGCAACTCCTTGCTCTCAGATGGGGCCGGCCCAAGGGACTCCTGACTCCCAAAGCTTTGCCGGCAGTTCCAGCTGTTTTGCCTCTACCTGCACCTTCTGACTGTGCTGCACCTGCTGGAGGAAATGATGGCACCCAGGCAAAAGCCTTGAGGATTATGAAGCTGAGGCCAAACACATGCTCACCAAGAGGAAGGGCAATGATTTGGATACTGCCATGAAGAGGCCAGCTTCTAAGAAAACCCTAGCCAAAGCAGAGCCCAAGCAAAAGGCCATTGTGAAGAAGAATGCTGAGGAAGCAAAGCATGTCACACCAGCTTTCCTCAAAGGAATCTATGGATGTGTGAGATGCCGTGGCAGTGTGAGTGGCTGTGACAAGTGCCAGTCTCCCTACTTTGGGGGGACTCAGTCTCAGTTCAAGACAGGAATACAACAACTGGTAACAAGAAAGGCAGCAGGGGAACAAAAGGAAGTGTAAATATTTCCTTGGTCAGACAAAAGATCGTGGGCTGCCTTGTGGTAAATAACCATGCAAACACAGCAATGGTAAATCATACAGGCAGTGGGGGAAAACAGAAACGCTTAGGCTTTCTCTTGACATACTTATCTAGACATATTTTCCAGCATGAAAGTAAGTGACCACTAACTTGCAGTGCTGCCCTTGGTTCTGCTTGTTGTTTTTCAGTTTTGGCTTCAAGAGCTATCATTTGAAATCCGTTTGCCTGCAAGGGCTTTTTTGTTTGAATATGTTTGAATCAGTAGCACAGCATTGTGGGCACAGCTTTCTGCAAGGCTACTGCATGAAGCAAGGCCTGGCCCAAGGCAATGTGTGCCAAATCTGCAAATGACATATTTGGAGGCCATGTTAGCAGCAGGTTCCGCAGCAGGCCATGGAACACTAGTTTTTGCCTTTCACACAGTCATACTCCAACATTGTCCAAGATTACTTTTATCACCTTTCTGCAAAGAAATGCTTCCAGCCAGCCATGCCAGACTTTCCAAAATTGCAAAGTTTTAAACAGAGAATCCCATTTTGCAGCCAGTCAGCCCTGGAAGCAATATTGACTTTGGCAGCCCAGGAAGGCATTCCTGCTAGTCACAAAAGGAAACAAATCAGAGAGTTTGTTGAGCAGGTCATTGCTGGCCTTCAGCTATGATTTTGGGAGAGGACCCTGTGGAATTGGCATTTGCCAACATCTTTAACTATTTGGCTGGTGCTTATGCAGCTGGTGGCTGCTTTGCGGATTATTTTGACAAGGTACATGACAACAACCCTGGTTCCTTCAACAACCCTTGGTCTTGCATTCTTTATGTAGATGAACTGCACCCTGGCAACCAATTGGCAGGGAATTCTAGGAATACATGGGCAATTTACTGTTCATCTGCCCAGTTTGGGGCCACGCTGTCAAATTCTGAAAGTTGGTTGACATTGCTCGGGAAGAGGAGTGAGCAAGTCTCACAGCTGGCAGCCAGCATTGGCCAATGTTTCAGGTTGATCCTGGAGCACATGTTTGACAACAAATATGCTCATCCTCATTCTGAGGTACTTTTACAGGGAGGTCTTAAAAGACTGAAACTCTCTGTTGGATGTTGCAACAGACCAAGAATCCTGTCCTCGTGGGCAAGGATGCAAGAGTGCAACAAAACCGAGTTAAGAAGGTGGAGCCAGGCTTCTGGGGTTGATTATTCCCAGCATTCACTCTTGCTGAGTGACAAGCTGAAGTCCCAGAACCTTCTGAGACCAATCACCCAATACATGCATGATTATATGCATGGGCTCTGCCCAAATGGTGTGCTGAACTGTTTTTTTTTTGTGGATCCAACCGCTTGCTTCCAGTGGTGTGGCTGAGATTTGGAAGGCACATGGCTTTGTGCAACTTTGGGCCCAGCCTGCCATTCACAAATGCAATTTGAAAAGGCTATTTCTGCCCAAAGCAGTGGAAGGCCACAAAAAAGCTGGGAAGTTCAGATGCATCCTCAGAGATTCTGGGTCTGTACCAGGTGCTGGCACACTATGTCCAAATTTGTTGCTTGCCTAATGGCATTTGTCTTCTGGGGTCAACTTGCTCTTTGGCTTGGTGCAAAGTTTTGGACTATCGCCTATCCATCCCTGATTTGGAAAAGCCTGACTACAAGCAATTGCTTTCATTTGTTGAAGCAGCATTGGAGGCAACTGTTGCAGCTGACTGGTCGGAATAATTCGAGCCAAAGATGCACTGGTCACTTCATATTATAGTCAAAGTCTCCAGAGGCATGGCCAATTACCTGCATGCTGGACCATGGAAGGGAAGCACAAAGGCACTAGAAAACATGGGAATGTCTTGTGCAACACTACCTATTGGGAAACTTCTCTGAGGAAGTCTGTCATTGCAGGGCACATCTATACATTGGGTGAAGAGTCAAGACTGTTTAGAGAAGGCACCTGCCTACAAAATGCAAAGGGGGCCCCACAAAGAAGATGACGGCATTCCTATGCAATGCTGGCGTGGTTCCTGTGGGAATGCCTTGCATGCAGAGCTCTCGTTGTAAACTTTTTTCTGGGGCAACAATTACTTCTGGTGATGTTGTCTGTTTGCACAATGTGGATGGAGGCTCACCAGCTGTCAATGCAGCTCAAGAGCATTGCTTTTTGAAAGTCCCATGTGGTGATGTGGCCCTTGTCGAAAAATATTTGTTCCTGGAAATTTCAAACAAACATCCGGGTGTTGCTTCTTTACAAGAAATCTCGTGTGCTGTCACTTACAATGCTGCCAAAGGCAGGGTGACATGCCTCACCCCTGCATTCTTGCAACTTTGAAGGGACATGCAATTTCCATCCACAGCAAATGTCTTTGGAAAACAAGCTTCGGTGGTATGCCCAACAGCCGCAACGTTTTATGTTTACTAATCTTTCTGAAGCCTGCTGCCAAGCCAAGCGCTGGAAACACTTCAGCTCGGTTTCCGTGAGTTAAATGGCCACAAATCCTGTTGAACTTGACCTGGCTCTGCACCAAAGCCTCCCAGACCTTCTCCGGAACCCTGTTGAACCTGACCTGGCTCTGCACCAAAGCCTCCCGGAACCTTCTCCGGAACCTTCACCAGAACCCTGTTGAACCTAACCTGGCTCTGCTCCAAAGCCTCCCGGAACCTTCTCCGGAACCCCGGAGCCCTGTTGAGCCTGACCTGGCTCTGCACCAAAGCCTCCCGGAACTTTATCCGGAACCCTGTTGAACCTACCAAAAGGCTCTGGAGGATTAAAAGGATTAAAAGGATCAAATCATTTAATCCTTTTAAACCGTTTAATCCTTTTGATCCTTTTAATCCTCCAGACCTCCCAGAATCCCAAGAAAAGCCCAGCAATTTAATTCTTTAAATCCTTTTAATCCTTTTGGACCGGGAATTCCGGACCCCCTGGAGGATTAAAAGGATTAAAAGGATTAAAAGGATTAAACGGATTAAATCATTTAACCCTTCTAATCCTTTTAATCCCCTAAAGGGCTCTGGAGGATTAAAAGGATTAAACGGATTAAACCATTTAATCCTTTTAATCCTTTTAATCCTCCAGACCTCCCAGAATCCCAAGAAAAGCCCAGCAATTTAATTCTTTAAATCCTTTTAATCCTTTTAATCCTCCAAAAGGCTCTGGAGGATTAAAAGGATTAAATATATTTCTCAAGGGCTTGGGCCCGGAATTCCGGACCCCCTGGAGGATTAAAAGGATTAAAAGGATTAAAGGGATTAAAAGGATTAAAAGGATTAAATCATTTAATCCTTTTAATCCTTTTAATCCCCCAAAAGGCTCTGGAGGATTAAAAGGATTAAAAGGATTAA